AGGGTGGTCCGAACTGTATTTCGGAAATTTCGGCAGATAAAAATAAGTAAAAATGTTTGTATAAATGTATGTCTAAAAATGCTTAGTTTCAGATATACAGGGTGTAGAAGTTTCATTTTTATTTCGATTTTTTCCAAATAATTTCTGCAGTAACGTCAATATTTGGATTAAAATTGGTGTCTGGGAGTTTTTGACATAAGACATTTGATTTTGATGTCAAAATGACTACTACTAGTAGAGGGCGCCACCTACATATTTTTTAACTGGATTGAAGAGTAATAATTTGTCCTCCGTACTTGTATAAAACTACTGAGTAAAAAAAATATACATTTACGACGTTTTTTACGTAAAAAATGTCTCTTGGTAGAAATCGCTACGAATAATGGTTCTCGAGATAGTTGGAATCGAAATTATCAATACCTGTCATCACTGACATAAATTAAACATATGTTAACTAAATAGTTATTAGACTGAGATCATAAATTTGAAATGTTTTTGTACCAAAAGTTCAACAAGAACTGTTTTATCATCATTTTTTTTGCAGAAAAAGTATGATTAATTGTAAAAAATAAAAATTTCCCAAATTTATTATTTCAGTGAAATAACTGTCTACTCAAGGTGTTTATTTTTCGTTAATAATGGCATGTATTGACTATTTCCATTCTAAATATCTTGAGAATGGTTGCTCGTAGCGATTTTTACAAAGAGATATTTTTTACGTAAAAAATTACAGAGATGTTTATTTTTTCCTTCGGTAGCTTTATACAGCTACGGGCAAAAAGTTATTACGCTTCAAAATAGTTAAAACACATGTAGGTGGCGCCCTCTACCAGTAGGAGTCATATTGACATCAAAATCAAATTTCTCATGCCAAAAAACTCCCAGACACCAATTTTCATCTAAATATTGACGTTACGCACAAATACACTAGTAAGTGATATAGATTTATATAAAATGATTGATAAATGTAATAAGATTTCTAATAATTTTAATAAATATTGCACTAATAACGGCCTTATATTAAATTCTCAAAAGACAGCTCTTATGCGATTTCTTACAAAAAATGTTAGTGTGGACTACAGCCTATATGTAGCAGTTGAAGGACAGTAAATAAGAAATGATAACGTAGTGAAATTTCTGGGTCTTAATTTGGACCAAAAACTAACATGGTCTATTCACATAGATATTTTATGTACAAAACTTAGCAGTGTTTGCTTCTTAATTAGAACGCTACGTACAAATGTTAGTATGGATATACTGAGACTTGTTTACTTTGGCCTAGTACAGTCGATCCTACAGTATGGTCTGATATCCTGGGGATCCTCCTCTCACTTTCAAAAAACTTTCAACATGCAAAAAAAGGTTTTAAGGTATATGCTTAATGTATCACCTGACACAACTTGCAGACCACTATTTAGAATGCATAACATAATGTCACTTCCCAACATGTACATTTATCAATTAATTTTGAATATATATACTAACAGCAATAAGTTTCAATTAAACAGTGATTATCATTCTCATGAGACTAGATTTGCCAGTGATCTACATCTACCATACTCAAGGCTGACTGTGAGTCAGAATGCACCGTCATACTTAGGCATAAAATGTTTTAATAAGATTTCTAAAATTGTGCCCAATTTGGATCAGGATAATTACAAAAACAAACTGCGGAGTTTCTTATTGAATAATGTATTCTATTCGGATAAGGAATTTTTAGATTTTTAGGTGTAATTTAAGTACTTTTCTCTTTTTTTTTCTACTTTTTCTCTGACTAGTCTTATGAGTTGCAGAAGTATATATTTATATTTATATCTGTTTGTATACTTCAACGATGAATAAACATTTATTTATTTATTTATTTATTTATTTACTTCAGAAATTATTTGGAAAAAATCTAAATAAAAATGAAATTTCTACACCCCGTATCTCCGAAACTAAGCATTTCGGGACATACAATTATACGAACTTCTTTACTTATTTTTATCTGCAGAATATGCTGCCGAAGTTTCCGGAATACAATTCGGACCACCCTGTATACAGGGTGTCTCAGATTTTAATCGGGAAAATGTAATAGACGATAGTACTTGAAAAAATAAAACAAAAAGTTCATATCAACTTGTAAGATTTAAAGCTTCCTTTTTGAGATACAACAATTTAATCGATTTTGATATAACTTGACCCGTTTATAATACTTACTATGGGACTTAATTTGATGTAATTAGATTTAAGTTTAATGGCTAGGAGCGGCGATGGGGCATCACTGTTAAATTATTTTAAAGGAAAAAATAAGCATGCCACTGCTTTTTTAGAAGTTTAATATTATTTTTAGATTTAGTAATTAAAAATATTATTTTTTTGTCTCCTGACTTTTTCGTCTATCTTGCTTACTTTTTGCGAAAAAAATTAAATTCTAACTGGTAATTAATTATTACAGTTGAGGGTTGGAACCTTTGGTGTTACACAGCAAAATAAAAGCACTAAATCATTAGTGTTTTTATTTTGTTGGTGATTAATATTATAATTGGTATTTTAATGGTACCCTGTATCTCGAAAAGGAATCTTTAAATCTTATAAGTTGATATGAACTTTTTGTTTTATTTTTGCAAGTTCTATCGTCTATTAAATTTTCCCGATTAAAATCTGAAACACCCTGTACATACGGGGTGTTTCATCAGGGGGGGGGGCATCAAAAATAGTACATAAAATAGTACTATAACCACAAGGGTAGATTAAATGATACTTTAACATCGAGGATAGGTTAAAAACTTTATTTCTTCTCGCACGTTTTTCAATTGCTTCCATTTTTGAAAAATTTTGTATTCCTTTTCATAAATTATTCGGGATTTAAATGAAAATAGTTTGGATATGGCGTTTGTCGCCTCAGCCTGATAATCTGTTTGTAATTTACTTATTTCGTTTTGAGCCATTTCTGGCTCCAATTCAATCAGCAATCGACACGAAAGAGAATTATAAAATACTGACTCAAAACTGACAACTAAAGAGACAGCTTTATTTATTTGTCAAATTACATAGAAACCAACGCCAACCCAGCACAATATTTTTTCTACTCGTAATAAATTCCTTGAAATAATAATTTCTGAATATTTTTTAAAACGTAACTCGCTATGGAAAAATTATTGTTTTATACACGACGATAAAATTTCATTATCGTCTCCCGAAATTAATTCACGAGCGAAGAAACCGCGAGTGAATTAATCTTTTCAATGAGCTAGATGCTTTACCTAGACCGTTATTCAAAAGCCATAAACCTATCGATAAAAATATGCATGAAAATTAACTTCCTAGCACCCAACCAGAGGATATTGGTACACAGGTACAATAGTATCAAGTTTATTATAATGATTTTCTTAGCTTTAAATCAAATGTTTCTTGGTGTTTGCGTGATTGTGTGATCTTTACCACTTTTCACTCGAAGTTTCACGTTTTTATTCACCCCTTGCATTGATATGTGTATTTTTTTAGATGTCAGTATTGAAATTATATCGATCTTTTTTTAATATGACCATCCCTAATCGAGAGTAAAAGGCTCCAATCATCAGCTCTCATTTTCCACAATGCACTGTATTCTTTTCTCGCACTGTGCAAATATTTTACGCCATTCGTCGTGAGTTGCACAACTCTCGGTGCACATATAGACTATACCCAGATAATGCACCGTATAATTCCAACTAGATATGGTTCGCTGGTCTCGCGAGATACTTAGAAAGCAAACCTAACAAACCCTACACGATTTTGTTTGTCAGTCGTAGCATTTTTTTTATTAATTTAATAAATTTAATAACAAACGGTTTTTTATATAATATTTTTCTATAGTTTAGATATGGTTTCGTGTAAAGTCTATACCAGGAAATATCAAAAACACACCGCAAAAAAATATAACAATACCTATATAAAACACGGACATAAAAAAAACAGATTTTTTAGGTTTTGAAATAACTCACGATTCCAATTAAGAGTTCGGAACCGAAACACAATACTGTATTTGTTAAAATATTATATAAAAATAGAATAAAAAGACCGACTGTGGGCTTATTAAGTCTTGAAAAGCATGTAAAATGAGAGAATGCCATTATTTTATGCATATTCATAAGTTTTAACGCAAGATTACCTCGTGTGATGTTACCTAATAATGCCTGAAAACAATGGTGTTACAGAAAAAATGTGCTAAAATTATAAAATACATATTCAGAAATACCTTGTGACAGTCTTATTTACTTGGAAACTTGACTATACCGTGTGCAAAAAAAGTGTATGAAACTTCAATGAGTGATAATATAGATAAAAATAAAAGAAAAACATATTTTAATATTAAGTTGGTAGGCAGTTCTTTTAGTTTCAAAGTAAAGGAATTTTTCCAATTTTTTTATCACAAAAACTGCGACTTTGACTGATTTTGATGTAATTACAAATTTTGTTGTAAATATTTTTCCTAATTTTAAATTGAAAACCGCGTTTCGCCTAGCTACTGTAATTTTAGAGTTACAATTTTTTAAAATTTTTAACCCCCTCCCATACCCCCTTACCAACCCCCCACCCCCACAAAAAGCTAATAGCCAGATTCTCGGGTGCCACAGTATTTTTGTACCAAATTTGGTTAAAATCGGTTTAGCGGTTTTTGAGTAATGTTACAGACGGACAGACAGACTGTTATAAGTCTTTACATCCCTTACAGCCCTTATTTGAAACATATCTTGATTTTGGTTTTAGATTAGATCTGGTATATAATTACATTAGGTTTGTTCCAACACAGCATAGATTGGTTCTTGGTATGGTTACGCTTATGCGCAGTAGAGAAATGCGTTCCAATAACGAGAGAATTGTTTAGCGAACTATACATTTTGCGTTCCAACCAGAACTATTATTTTTTTTAATTTCTTTGGCTATTTTCTGTTTTTAATTTTGGTACAATATTTTTTATACCCTGTATAGTGTATACAGACATGAAAAAAGTCTTACATTTTTTCTATTTTTTTCAGTGGTTGTCCTTTCTTGTAATACTCTCAACACTTCTCTTCGAAGCCCAAGCAAGAAGAATTCGAGTACAACCACGTCTTCCTCAAGAAGAAGCCGAAGAAACCATTCAGTACTACGCAGCAGAACCGCAGGAAGATATAGATAATCGTCAAAGAGTGGTACTAGGTAAAAATCAGTTTTTTACACATTAGATTAGATTATATTTTTCGAGGTTGTTATTATATCCATCTGTTCTAATTCTATACAGGGTTGTTCACCACATACGACACGGAGTATTGTAGCTAAACGATTAGATTTTTACAAATTGTAAGTTTTGGGTTCGTTGAATTACTATTAGAGCTACAATTTAAAAATATTTTGACAAGATACACTCCCACATAAGTAAAAAATATTATAGTTGTCTTTTTTTAAATGGAACTCCCTGTATATTATTCTATTTTTAGATTCTACGATTAAAATAAAGATAAAATTGATTAAGGTTTATCAAACATAAACCTTACCGTTTTTGAAATATTTTCAATTTTATGAAATTGCAGTAAAAATTTTAAGGCTTCATTTCTCCAAGGGTATCAAATTTTTTAATACTAAATATTTACTGAAGATTATTTATTGATCAGATATTGTGTTGCAATAATAAACTATTTACTACCTTATACATATGTCCAAAAAGTTATTTAAATAATTACTAGCTTTAAACGGCAATAACTTGTTTAATTTAAATGGAACACCCTATATATTTTACATGAATCAGATGCACAATGTAATTGTCTATCAAAATGTATTATATTATTATTTATTTGATTAAAAAATAAAAAAAAACTGTTTACATATTTTTTGTTAGAGGACCAATTAATATGATCCCAGTATTCAAACTACATTAATTGACTGTTTACGTTGATTAATAATAATTGCTTCAAATACTAAAAAACTGAATTTTGTGTGTGTATTAGACAATGTAGTAAAAAGTAACACCTTATAAATATTATTTCATTTTTTGACGAATGCTTCTTATTTATAAAAACAAAGACTTTCATTTTCATAACTTATTATTATTTTGATTTCTAAGCCAAATCCACATTTATTTAGAATACTTTATTAATTAAAACAATTTAAAAGTACGTAATTAACTAATTTTTGGTCGGAAATAATGATAGTATATTTAATTGGTATACTCTTTTACAAAGATTTAAATAGTTGTTTTTGTATACCAATGGGCTTGCAATATTTACCACCTGTACATTTTGTACAAATATGTTGCTTTATAAAAATCTGAAATGTCAATATTCCATGGGTATAGTGATAAATGAGGTCTAAATTATAAGAAAATGCATTTTCTACGAAAACTCGACGAGATATGTAAAAAAATGGTATAATAAAATTTGATCAATTGTGCATATGATTCACCTAAATATATAGGGTGTTCCATTTAAATTAAACAAGTTATTGCTCTTTAAAGCTAGTAATTATTTAATATAAATTTTTGGACACTCTGTATAAGGTAGTAAAATTTTTATTATTGCAACACAATATCTGATTACTAAATAATCTTCAGTAAATATTTCGTATTAAAAACTTTGATACCCTTGGAGAAATGAAACCTTAAAATTTTTACTCCAGTTTCATAAAATTGAAAATATTTCAAAAATGGTAAGGTTTAAGTGTGATAAACCTTAATGAAATTTACCTTTATTTCAACCGTAGAATCCAAAAATAGAATAATATAGAGGATGTTCCATTTAACAAAATACAACTATAATATTTTTTACTTATTTGGGCCACTCTGTATCTTGTAAAAATATTTTTAAATTGTAGCTCTAATAGTACTTCAACGAATTCAAAACTTACAATTTGTAAAAATCTAATCGTTTAGCTACAATACTCCGTGTCGTATGTGGTGAACAACCCTGTATGTGTCGAAGTTGGGACACTTATGTACTGAGAAGTCAATATAAGTACTGAAAAGAAGTACTGATTCCGAAAGAACTTATGGAGAATATGTAAATCAATTAAAAGTACACCTATAATTAAAATTTCTGCTCTGCATGACTCAATAATACGTTCAATAACACGACTTGACCAAGAATAAATCAACACCTTGAAAATAATTATAGCAATAATGCGTTTAAGTTTATGACACAATCTATGGCATGTAAACAGACCGGATTGCACAATTTCAACATACAGTGCAGTAAAATTTCTTTTTTTTGTTTTAAGTGTCTTCCGCTGACCAATACAATGGCCTCTACGGCCAACCCACTGCTTCATCGAGAAGTGCTCAGGAGTACTCATCAAGAGGCTCTCCCAGGTCTCAAGTGACTGCTCAACGAGTCAAGGAATCACCAAAGACCCCACCAGTACAAACAATTAGGTAAATATACAGGGTGATTCAGATTTTACTAGAATAACTTCAGGTATCGATAGAACTAACCGAAATAATGATAGTTTGTATTATAAACCATGCATACTCCAAAAACGCTTCCGCTTGGAGTAAAATGGCGCTAAAATTTGAATTATTTTTCGGTTTTTATTTTATTACTCGTAAGCCAGAGGATCTAAATACGCAAGTGTTTGGTTAAATACTAAGGGCAACGTGGCTGATATGTGTGAAAAAAACAGGATTAATTGCTATACAGGGTGTTGTTTTTGCGAGTGTCAACTGCACGGAACCTTGTCGAACTTTATTGTCGCACGCCACTGGATAAATTTGAATTTTTTACTGATACCTTCCGTCTTTTTACTAACTTTTCTTGTTCTTACATTTTTTTATATGTCGCTTAGTTTTCGAGATATTCCACAAAATTCCGGACATAGCTCAGCTGCGTTCGAAAATTGTTACTTAATTAGCAGCACGCAATATGAAAAATAATTCAAATTTTAGCGCAATTTTACTCCGAGCGGAAGCGTTTTTGGAGTATGATTTATAATACAAACTATCATTATTTCGGTTAGTTCTATCGATACCTGAAGTTATTCTAGTAAAATCTGAATCACCCTGTATAGAAAAATCAATAAAACTTTGCATGGACTTCATCAAAATATTTGACAAATGTACGTCGCAATGTTGCCACATGTATACTTTTTTTACTTTGCCTTTTTGACGAATTTTTTATTTCAATTTTAGACACAATGCATATAAAAAAATATACAGGGTGGTCCGAACTGTATTCCGGAAACATATTCTACAAATAAAAATAAGTAAAAAGGTTCGTATAGATGTATGTCTTAACGTGCTTAGTTTCGGAGATACAGGGTGTAGAAGTTTCATTTTTATTTCGATTTTTTCCGAGTAATTTCTGAAGTAACGTCAATACTTGGATGAAAATTGGTGCCTGGGAGTTTTTTGACATGGAAAATTTGATTTTGATGTCAATATGACTTCTACTTATAGAGGGCGCCACCTACATAAATTTTCACTGGTTTGAAAAGTAATAACTTTTCGTCCGTACCTGTATAAAACTATTGAGTAACAAAATATACATTTACAACGTTTTCTACATAAAAAAGGTCTCTTGGTAAAAATCTCTGCGAGTAATGGTTCTTGAGATATATGGAATCAAAATTATCAATAACTGTCATCATTGACATAAATTAAAACTTTGTTAGACTGAAATCATAAATTTGAAAGGTTTTTATGCCAAAAGTTCAACAGAAACTGTTTTATAGTCTATAAAATGAGTAACTTTGAATTTTGACCGTTATTTTTTAACAACATGAGTTAAATGACTAGAACAGCCAAATTAGTTTTAAAAATATTTATTGATTAAAATTACAACTTTTAAAATGGTATCTGCCTGAACAATAACTAATAAGAGAATGCAAATTGTCTAAGCTACTACATTGTTTAATTTAATAAATTTTCTGAGCTGCAGCGGCGACGCGTGCGTCGAGATTTATGACATCACGCTAGTTAGATACTACGGATTAATAAATATGTTGTAGAATACATGGAAAACATAATTATTCCTCGCATTTTTGGTTTGTATTTTAAAAATTATACAGTTTACATAAAATATACATAATATACAGTTAATAAACCTATTTGTAGTACTAAATAGTTTGACAAATAAACTATGAACCATACAAATGCAGCAAATGTTTTACAATATACAAATAATGAGTAGGTACATAAGATAATGGGTAAAATGTAAAATATATTTTAAATTTTGGTGTTTTAAAATCGATCTAATTTAACAAAAAATATTCAATATCTACTAATAGTGATGTATTATTATTTACATTCACAAAATTTATATGTATATTTTGCAGGTATCAATGGTCGAAAAATTATATTTGCAAATAATACATTATCATAGAAAAAAATGCGTCAGCGATGGCTATGAAATAAAGATCGCTGTCATTTTATATGTGAAATTATTCTAAAATTTTTGATTTTCTTGGGATTTAGGTTCGGGAAAAACGCTGATTAAGTTTTCATTTGGTTTTTTATTATTTTTATTTGGTTAAAAAAAACGTTTCGGCTAACATTATAGCCTTCATCAGTGTCGTGTCATATGAAAAAAATAGTGTCGAATATAATCCAAAAAATTACATATAAAATATTCATGGCTGAAGTCAATAGTCAATAGCTCCATAGTCAATAGTAGATAGTTTTAGTGTTAAGAATAATAATTTTAAAAAATATGTGGTCATCTTTTGACAAGTTTATATTAGTTTATTAATTTCAGTAAACATTATGTGGTGTGTGGTGTGAATATTAGTATTATTAGTAGTATAGTATTATTAGTAGTATCTAACTAGCGTGACGTCATAAATCTCGCTCCGAGACTCTTCTATTAGAGACGGCATTGCGTCAGCATGGCCGCAAGTTGCTAACCTAACATAATTAACACTAGAAAAGCCCGCGGGAACTGTCAAATTCAAAGTTATTCGTTTCACAGACTATATCATCATTTTTTCGAAGAAAAATTTATGATAAATTTAAAAATATAAAAAGTTCCCAAATTTATCACTTCAGTTAAATAAATATTTATTTTAAATTATTTCTAGATTTAAACCGCAATAACTTGTTTAATTTAAATAGAACGCCCTGTATATTTTAGGAGAATCAGATGCACAATTTAATTGTCTGTCAAATTGTATTATACCACTTTTTATCTATCTCTTCAAGTTTTCGTAGAAAATTCATTTTCTTATAATTTAGACCTCATTTATCAACATACCCACGGAATTCTGACATTTTAGATTGTTTTTAAAGCAACAAATCTACAAAATATACAGGCTAGTAATATTATCGATTTTAGCAAAATGATAATATTACTAGCCCATTTGTATACACAAAGAAAATTATTTAAATCTTTATAAAAGAGTATACCATTAATTAAATATACCACCATTATTTCCGCCCAAATACTAATTAATTACATACTTAATTATGTTCGTTAATAAATTATTCTAAATATTCTAAATAAATGTGGATTTGAATCAGAAGTCAATATAATAATAAGTTGTGAAAATGAATGTCTCTGTTGTCATAAATAAGCATTTGTCAAAAAATTAAATATCATTTTTAAGGTGTTAGTTTTTACCCCACTGTCTAATACACATACAAAATTCAGTTTTTTAGTATTTGGAGCAATTATTATTAATCAACGCAAACAGTAAATTAATGTAGTTTGAATACTGGAATCATATTAATTGGTCCTCTTTAACAAATATTTAAACAGTTTTTATTTTATTTTTTAATGAAATAAACAAACTATATCAACAATATTAATACCTGTACTCTTTAAAAAATTGGTACATCTTTCAAAAATCAAAAATAATCTAAAATGTCAGTATTCCATGGGTATATTGATAAATGAGTTCTAAATTACAAGAATATGCATTTTCTACGGAAACTTGAAGAGATAGGTAAAACATGGTATAATACAATTTGATAGACAATTAAATTATGCATCTGATTCTCATAAAATATACAGGGTGTTCCATTTAAATTAAACAAGTTATTGCCGTTTAAAGCTAGTAATTATTTAAAATACAGTTTTAGACACTCTGTATAAGGTAGTATAATTTTTATTATTGCAACACAATAACTGATCAATAAATAAACTTCAGTAAATATTTAGTATTAATACCTTTGATACCCTTGGAGAAATGAAGCCCTAAAATTTTGACTACAATTTCACAAAATTGAAAATATTTCAAAAACGGTAAGGTTTAAGTGTAATAAACCTTTATAAAATTTACCTTTGTTTTAATCGTAGAAACTAAAAATGTAGTAATATACGGGGTGTTCCATTTAAAAAAATACAACTTTGATATTTTTTATTTATTTGGGACACTCTGTATCTTGTATAAATATTTTTAAATTGTTGCTCTAATAGTCCTTCAACGAACCCAAAACTTACAATTTGTAAAAATCTCATCGTTTAGCTATAATACTCCGTGTCATATGTCGTGAACAACCCTGTATACGAATCTTTTTACTTATTTTTAACTACAGAATATGTTTCCGGATTACTGTTCGCACCATCTTGTAAAATATCTACATTATTTCTTTGTTTATGAGTATTACACAAAGAAATACTAATTAAATGAATAATTTGATTTGGTAATAACTTCGACATCTATGACGACTGGTACACACACTTTTATTGATTTTTGTCTAGTCTTAATGATTCTGACCATACATCATAGTTTTTGTCAAATGCAATTTTAAAGTACCACGCACAAAAAAAATAATTACTTTTCCTAGTTGTTTCTAATGCAAGTATAGCCAGGGGCATTCTGTGTACCTGCAATCTGTCTTACTTTTACTACACAGTAGTACTAACTGGGTCATTAGATCGTACTCTTACCGAAGAATATTAAACGGAATTTGTGTGTATTTTGCAGGAACTATAACAAAGTAAACGACGACGGCTCGTTTACTTTTGGTTACGAAGCTGCCGATGGTTCGTTTAAGGAAGAAACAAGGGGTACCGACTGTGTGGTTAGAGGAAAGTACGGTTATGTAGACCCTGACGGGAATAAAAGGGAATTTACCTATGTTTCTGGTAACCCTTGTGACCCTAATGCTCCCAAAGAAGAGGATGATCAATCAGGTAAAATGCTTATCTTACTATTATTACACCCTTTCTCGGGGGTGAAAAATAAATCACCCATTTTAATTGCAAAAATCAATAAAGGGATGAATTCTAAGTAAAAAATGTTCTAAAACATTTTTTCAGAAAATTAATAATTTCCGAGTTATTTAGGATTGACAATGTTGATTTTTCATCTAAAAACTGAATATTTTTCTGCCATTTTTATAAATACACTAAACTAAGCTAACCTAGAAGTTCTCACTGAAGTAGGCTTAGATGAGAGAGATATTATCATTATAAGGAACACATATATACATACGTATAGACATAAAAAGAGGTGTTAGACAGGGATGCATATTGTCACCATTATTGTTTAACGTTTATGCCGAGTATATAATCCGAAAATCTCTTCAAAATTGTCCACAAGGGGGTAAAATAAATGGGAAGATTATAAACAATATAAGATACGCAGACGACACCGTGGTATTAGCAGAATCCGAAGACCAGTTGCAAACCCTAATGGACAAACTGAAAGAAGAAAGTATCAGGATGAGTCTAGAGATTAACACCGTCAAGACAAAAATTATGATTTTCAACAGACATCCGCAAGACAATGCAAACACTGATATAATGATAAACGGCGTTCATGTCGAGACCACGCAGAGATATATTTACTTGGGCAGGAAATTAAAATTAAATAGCCAGCTAGACTACTCTAAGGAAATCAGAGAAGGATTGAAATAGCTAGGGCTGGTTTCCTCAATATGCGGAAGTTCTTATGTCATCCGAGAACAGCTATACCAACGAGGCTAAGAACATTAAAATGTTATATATGGCCCTTGCTTTAATATAGATGCGAAACATGGACGCTAAAACAAGAAGACATCAAACGCGTTAATGCATTTCAAATGTGGATGTATCGTCGGATGTTGAGGATAAGTTACACCTCCAGAACAACAAACTGTGAAGTTTTAAACAGAATGAAAACTCGTGCACACTTAACAGGAACAATTAAAATCAAAAAGACTTCCTACCTTGGGCACATAATGCGGAACTCAGAATATGAAGAAATACAGCTCATAATAGAAGAAAAAAACGATGGAAAACGTAGTATAGGGAGGAAAAAGAAATCAGTTTAAAACCCACACCGATGGAAACACCCTTATTCACCAAGTTCTGTTGAACTGGAGGAACCTAACTTAACCTACCAGCGTCTCTTTCTCGAGAAAATAATTTATAAGCTTAGCAATGAAGGCTTATTTATTTTGGTTCAATCTCTGAGGCATTTTTGCAATAAAAAAATTGAATTTTCTTTTACAGCAACAATAAAATTTTAATTTTGACATTGATCGAGGTCCGTCAATAAAATTATAACCCCAAATCAAATGACAATGACATTTACTGAAAAGAATATGCAGTAATTTACGAAATGCCGTAATGACGTTACCGATCTCTTTCATCTGGTTGGTAAGTGTAGTTAATTCTGTTTTAAGTCTTGAGCCTAATATTTTTTAAATAAAATATAAAAATTACTAAACCATTTTTATTGGATCTTTCAGAACCTGAAAGTGCCGAAGAAGAAAATCTTCCTGCCAACTACCCAACCAGACCAATTCGACCAATCCCACGTCCAATTGCCAGACCAATTAGTACCCCAGCCCCTAAACCTGTGACTTTGTACCAGAATAACTACGCTCAAGAAGAAGACGAACAACCCGAACCTGAACAGTTATTGAGACCTACACCCAGTGTACGCTTAACTTAAACCTCTTAAATTATAAAATTTAAAAAAATATTTGTAATTTTTTAGCCTCAATACATCAGCAGACCTCAATATATCCAGCAAGAACCTTCTCAACAAACCTACCAACGACCACAGTACATTCCTTCAAGTACTCCAGCTTCTGCTTATTACAGACAACCTACCCAGCCTGTTAGACCACAACTACAAGCTGTCTCACCTACTATAGCTACCAGAACTCAACTACCAGCAACCACCTTCAAGCCACAATTGTTACAAGTCGCTGTAACACCCAGACCGGCTTTGTTGTATACTCCCAAGCCTTTGACAGCTTCACCAGCACCTAGTAAAGGAGTACGTTGATATTTTGACGTTTTTTAAAGATATATTATGCTAAATATGTTTGTTTTTAGATTGATTTTGATGCAGAATTCCAAAGGTTCCAGCAGGAGAACAATTTGGTGTCACCTACACCAAGTTCTTTAACAAAAACAACAGGAGCTAAAGAGGCTGGTTCTGTAGGGCAAATATACAGTTCTGCGTTAATTTATGATCCTGCAACAGGTAAAATATCTTTAGTGTCTTAAGTTTTGGAGATAGAGGGTGTAGAAATTTCATTTTTATTTCGATTTTTTCCAAATAATAAAAACACTATAATAAAAACAGCAAAATAAAAACACTAAATCACCACAATACACCAAAACACTTTTACTTTTACACTGGACGCGCGTTTCGCTAACCATGTTAGCATCATCAGCAGATGATTATAAACTAAAGTACAATCTACAAGTTGAGCGTTTATATACTCGCCCAGTGGGCACCGAGTGGGCGTGGCAAAATCTAGCCAACCGAGTCAGAGCCCACTGAGCGTAACAGATTTCCGCCACTAAAGTAGTAGGAACAAAGAACTTGAAGGAATTGGACCGTTGACTCTGTTCATACTATCTTTACATTTATTAATTCTGATGCTTTCATATGCATCTAATTGCCTGTAATTTGAGACTTGTTTAATTAATTTTAAATTATTAAGATCTATACAATGTTCTTTATCAACAATATGTTCGGCAACGCAAGAATTATCCGGTATACCGTATCTTATCTGAGCTAAATGTTCTTTAAATCTAGTTAATATTGATCTTCTAGTTTGCCCAACATATTTCTGATTACAATCTTTACAAGAAATTTCATAAATACCCGACCTTTCCAGTGGAGGTGTTTTATCTTTTGGATTACCTAATAATTGTTGTAATTTATTATTAGCACTATACACAAGTTTATAATTGACATTCTTAAAAATTCCTTTTAGACCACGGGATCTATCAAACGGTATCGAAAAATATTTAGACGTATCTTTCTCCACTTGAAAAGTCGAATTTTCAGAAATCATTAACCTATACCTACGTTTTCTAATTAATTTATCAACTAGTGAAGGAGAATATTCATTACACTCAGCTACATTCCTAATGTAATCTCTTTCTATTTCATATCTGTCGTTGGAAAGTGGGAAACTAAGTAATCTATGAACTAAGAAATTTAAACTAGCCATTTTATGTTCAACACTATGATGTGATTCATTAGGAATATATCTGCGTGTGGTCGTATTTTTCCTATAGATATCAAATTCCAGGCAATTATTAGTGTTTCTAATAACTAATACATCTAGAAATGGTAATCTGTCGTTGTTCTCAATTTTATGGGTAAATTTAATGGAAGGAAAACGATTATTTAACTTAGAAATAAAATTATCTATGGTGTCTGGATGTGTGGCAAAAACAGCAAAAATATCATCCACATACCTAAACCATACTCTTGGAAAATACTCAAACTGATTCTTAGCCTCCACTTCAAACCTGCTCATGAATAAATTAGCCAAAAATGGAGACAATGGATTACTCATTGCTGTACCTTCCCGCTGTTCAAAAAAGTTGTTATTAAATTGAAAACAATTTTGTTTCATACATAACGATGTAAGCTCAATATATTCACTCACAGTTTTGTTGTCGAGACCATTTGCGTTCAGTAATTCCTTCAAGTAGTCTAAAGTATGTGGAATTGGAACACTTGGGAACAACGAAGTAGTCAGTTTAATACATGTTTAATAATATATTTTCGTACTTTTTGGCTTAGGCGTTAAAATTACTTTTATACATTGTCAATCACGTCGCAAAAATTAATACTTTTGTAAAGTTTGAAAAAAAAATGATATTATTTTACAAAATTACTTATACAAAAATTATATCTCTACTTATACAAAATCATACTTAAATTTTACGATGAAAATAGTAATTAATCTTAATATGGTCTAGGTCAATACAAGAACCAACTTTACCAAACTTTACCTCAATCCCAAGGTGATTTTACCCTCAACCAAAGGATACAGCCCTACGTGCACCAACCAACCCAAAGGCCAGCATTGAATTTACAACAAATCCAACAGCAAAGCCCGCTTTACAGGCACCAACTTGCGCAGGTGGGTTATGACGTGTATGATGTCCATCCAGAAGAATAGATTTCTGTTTTTCTTTAGCTAATTTAATCAAATCTTCACGTATTTATATCATTTATGCGCCATTTTGTAAAGAAAGCAATGTTGAAGACTAACAAATCAGAGTTATCATCATTTATATAACACTAAATTTTGTAAATAATCTTAGTAATAACATGACTTTTTGTATATCATTTTTGCACGTCTTTAATCGATTTGTAAATAAATGTATTAGGATATCGTTGACTAACTTCATCTTCATCGTTTTTGTGACTTATTCCTGATGTTTTGGTTCCTTTTTCTTTTGAAATTGTTAGTTTTTTCTTGTTATCATCTAAGATATGGTATATTTCATCGTTTTTTCTTGCATGATTTCGTTGCATGGGCCTTAAATCCTTGAACTCCTTGAAATTAATGTAACTCAGCAAAAATATCATTATATGTTTGTAAATAACAAAAATAATATCACTATGTCTTGATATACCATCTTATGCACTTTTTATGTTTTTTTCATCACTTCCTTTTAGTTCTTTTGGTGTTTAATGAATGTTTTCGACTAAAAAAGTACTTTCTTCCTCAAATTCATCTAAAAAAACCTCTCCATCATCGATATTTCTGCATGATTCTTTTGTTTTGATGTTTCTCTCTCAAAATCATAGAAATTTGTGACTCTAGGTGAATCCACAGGCTGTATACCAGTCTCAGCAATCGGGGTTGTTGTTCCAAAACTCAGCTCAACTGTACGCTCAGCAACAAAAAGCTAGAGAGCAAGCTTCAGCTTCAACATCCAAGCAAATCGTCAAACCTGCTTCGGTGTACTATATTCAACCGTCCGTAGACCAAACAGGAGCCTTGGGGGCAAGTCAAATAGACGCTTTCTTGAGGGGTCACAATATTCAGTTTTAAAGAGTGATATTACCTTTTGAACTTTAACTGGTGGGCAGCTGGAACAAATAGTGACCTCTCAAAAAGGAAAAATAGTGAAAGTATGACCGAAAGATTATGTATATATGTAGTACCACGCCCATTGTTGTTACGTAATGAGCGGTACTGTTCGAAGCTATCGAGCATTTGAATCGGAGTGATTTTTTTTAGATTTACTCTTGATATTCTATTTTAACGTGGGTTAGATTATTTATAAGGCTTGAACCGCGCGTAATGTTGAATTGAAAAGGTCTTAAAAAATATTAAATGTAAATCAGGAAATATATTTTTTATTATCACGCAATACTATGTTTGTTATTGAAATAAAAGAAATGTTGCAATATTTAATAATAAGTTTATAAAGCTGCAACTCATTGAGAAATAATGTTTTTTTTTAAATTTAATGTTTATAATTTAAATGAGTTGATTCATGTCTCAGTTGATTACGGTTTAACTTTTGGCGCTCAAGTAGTGTCATTTTGTGAAGTTTATTAATATTTATAAAAAATATTAGTGTATAATAATAATTTAATGTAAGTTTTTAAAATTAATACTTTAAGAGTTATCAAATACTGAAAATTTGATTTTTTATATGGGACACCATGTATATTTTTAATTTATTGAAAATAATTTAAAATTACCTTTCCAAAAATATAACACACTTGATATCTTGCTCGATTCCTCTTCGAGATATAGAGTATATAAAAATTCGCCTTTAAATAAGTAGGCTTTGAACGGCACCGGCTGTAATGCAAAAGAAATTCTAGCTGTGAGCATCAATTAAAACGAAAATATATTTGCTATGAGAGATGCAGAATTTTATAACAATTTAAAATATATTTAACCAACATGAACACATTTAAACTATATCTAATAACAATAAAAATAAATAGCAAACCAAGACATGATATTTTGCTACAGGTGTTCGACATATCGACCGTCTTCTGTTATGGACAGACGGGACCGTTTTTGGAAATTTCTCGCGGAATTCATTAATTCGGGGGTGAAAGATACTCTCGCAAAACCGCTAAGTACTTTTAATTCTTGTCTAGATTATACGACAATTTAAAGATAAAAATCCATAGGCACTAAGTCCGGCGGCCTCGACAGCCAACGGCTGGGATTTTGGTTAGCTATTCAATTATTCTCGAAATTGGCTACAAAATTTTCCTGATAACTTCAACGTTCTGAGGCGGTGAAAAATATGTTTTCGAGTTCCATTAGGGACTGATCATCAATAAGGGGTTCAAAGCCTACTAGTTAAAAGTGGTGAAATTTTAAGAATTCTGTATTTCGAAGAGGACTATAACCGAGACTATAACAAAATATCAAGTATGCTATATTTTTGAAAAGGTAATTTTAAGTTATTTTCAGTTAATTAAAAATATACAGGGTGTCCCAAATAAAAAATCAAGTTTTCCGTGAATAACTCTTGAATTATTAATTATAAAAAAATTATACTTAAACCATTAAATTCTACGTAAAAAGGTGCTTCGAAAGTGTTTTCATAAAAATACGAAATGTTTCATGGCAAAAAAGTTACAGCGATTTGTTAAAAATGCACATTTTTGAAAAACACCCCGTAACTTCGAAACGTTAACAGATATCGATGTGCGGTTTTTACCATCATGTTTTTGATAAAAATTGAGCTCCAGACACCGACATTAGTTTTCGTCTTATAGAAAAGGGTGTTTCCTTTCATTCACCCTATACACTCTTTTATGCGACACCGTGTATTTTAGTTAACCTTTTCCTACAAAATTAATATCCTAAAATCTTAAATTAGTATTTATAACCTGCTTAAATATAAATCACGCTTATCTGCTACGATTTCTAAGCTATAATTTATTTAACTTAATACCTAAATCCTTTACGTACGTATACAGAGTATTTCTCAACGAATTGCAACATTAGACCTTATAAACTTTATAACCCACAGTCAGATTAATTAAATTTAATGCTAGACAGTGGGAAAATCACTCAATTTTCCTTCTATGAACAATCCAACTGCACATTATTCGCGGAATTCGTACTTCTTACCATTCTTTTAATGTTGTTGTTGTGTTTGTGCTTCTTTCAAGGCCGAACCAAGCGGCTCCACCCTTTTACTTGACCTTACAAGGAAACTAGAATAAGTCTTGACGTCTCGTAGCGCCAGTCATCATGATATAATGGTAATTATTGCTGAGGTCAGTCTCTAACGACTGGGAAACGAATTTGTACGAAAAAGTATTTTGTTTTAACGAATAATAGTATTACTGGTATTAAATTAATATAAGTAAGCCAGTTTTTAAGAAATATACAATAATTTCATGAATTACGAACAAAAAATCTATAATAACATCACTCTCAACCAATTAATATGAAAAAATGTTATATTTTAATAAACAATTAATTATTTATGGAGTTTGAAAGCGACATATAACATTAGGGAAATTTAAAATTGAATTAAACCGTTGGAGACATCAACAGCCGTATAGAAAAGTAACCTTTTTGTTTCATTTTCTTATTGTGAACTTTATTTGTTACTATACCGGGTGTTTTTCAAAAGTGATTAGGTATGTTAATGTATAACATAAATCAAGATAGATTGACGTATTCAGTTACTCTCGGTCACTTCCTGTTTCACCGGAAATGACTACAACTTTTGATTTTTAAAAGGTACCCTCGGTATTTTTACTTTACTTAATAGAAAATGACGTCAATCTGACGTGTCAATCTATTCAGAAGGTCATATTTTATCAAATCAAGTAAAAAATATGGAGTACCATTAAAAAATCAAAAGTTATAGTTATTTTTAGTAAAACAGAAAGTGAACGAAAATAATTGAATACGTCAAACAATCATGATTTATGTCACTAACATACCAAATTTTGATTTTTTATCTGAAGAAATAAAAAAGCTATAGAGACGATCTTTTGAAATACACCCCTTATACTATCTCAGATTATCTAATGACATGAATTCCTTTTGAATTCAATTTTTTTTATGCTTTTATTTTTATCAAATAAGTATTATATTATTTGTGTTAGCTTGTTTCCTTTTTTTCTTTCCTTCAATCTAGATCTATCTTATATATTATTGTATTTTTTATTTATTATATTTTTATACAACGATTCTTATTGCCAGGTGAGCTGTATATATAAAACTATTGCGATACGATGATAAAATTGTTAGTTTTAAGTTCTAGGTTATATTGTTTATATTATTAGTCTGTTGTAAAACTTGTGTTTTAAATAAATAGAAATATTCGAAAGCATTTGGTGTTTTTTTTATATTATTAATAAAAATAAGTCTATTTTTCTACATATTTTGAAATTAAAAAAATGTCATTTAAAAAACAAATTTAAAAACATAATAATGAAACATGTCCTAAAATATGATTGAGGACTAAATTTATACAAAAAAGTATTTTATATTAATAAATAGTGCATTATTCTAGCAGGAAAACAGTAAAAATAACTGTTATTTTTTATAATTACCATATCTTAATGATTTTTGTAACGAAACTTGGAAATATTGAAAAATCTTTGGAGACATCAACAGTCACATCAAAAAGTAACCTCTTTGTTTAATATTATTATTATTTATTTCATCTCTATTGGCAACTTTATGATGACTTTATGTGTCCTAATATGACATTTCTATATGCCAGGATAACGGTTTATGGTATATAAAACTATTGTAATATAATAAAAAGAACATTCGTTTTGTAATCTGAAATAAATAGTTATAACATTTTGAAATTAAATCTGTTGGCATTTTTATTAAGTTTAAACAAAACATTTATATATCGGAGCTTTATATTATACAGAATGGCTGTTAGAGGCTGTTTTAAAACAATTAAAAAAGGTATAATTGCTTCTATATTTTTTGGCCAAAAAATACTGTCAATATGCTTTTAGAAATATTTTTAACATTTTAATGGCTTGTTTGCTTTAAGTTAATTGTATTTTATTCAAAACTTATTGATCTACCATACGATCGAAGAAAAAATCGGCTAGAGATGGCTTAAAAATATACATCACTGTTATTTCGTATGTATAATTATATTGGAAATGTCATCGATCGTCATTTCCAAGCCACCAGGACGTCTTTTTTTTCGAGCATAGGGTATTGTGACAAAATCAATATCCTTATAATAATATAAATCTTGTATGAGTTTTATATAGAATAGTGTTCAAAAGAATGAGTAAAAATATCGTATTTTACTTTTCCTAATTTTATATATTATTATATATTGTCAGTCACCATTTTGTCAATTGAAATAAATTCTACATAATATTATATCCTCTGTTAATACTCTAACTTTAGTATATACATAGTATTTACATTAAAATATATCTTTAACTTATTAAACCTATTCAGAAAAAAATCAAATTATGTGAGATTAAAAATATAAAACCATCTATTTTTATTATATTTTAAAAAATCAAAATACTCATTCACCATTTTATCATGTTGGTTTACTGTCTCTCTCCATATACAGTATATTCGATTACTGAAATATATATTTATGACAGATTGTTATAGTTTCTTCAGCCAGACATTCTATGACGGTGGCATTTGATGTTTGTTTTTTTTAAATTGAAAAGTAGATTGTTTTTTTGACAGACTTTAAGGCGCACTGAACATCGTCTATATTGTCATTGTCTACAAAACTGGCCACAAAACTATGATAAATCTCTAGAATAGTAAAAAAATCACTAAAACAGAGACTGGAGAAAACATACTTTTCACTTGCACTTACGTAAAAAATGTACAAGTACTGCCAAAATATCATTTTACTACCAAGCGACTGCCAATGACTGCCAAGAAAATGTACATGTAATTAATCACAGTGAGACATCCCTCCGTTCATAGTGAACATTCTCATAGTGAATGTAAGCTCATTAGGAATTTAAAGGTGATGGAATTGACAGAGGAAGCCATGTTAGATTCTATTAAACAGAAGAAAAATGACAGATTTTTTTCAGATTCTTTGTATCACTAACAGTAATATATAATTTATATGGTTTTGTAACAAATTGCTGGCTATTTTATGGCAAATGCTGAAGCTCTACAAACCTTAGTCAAGCCTTAATCACGTGCTTGGGGTATAGGTTATAGTACAGCGTAATAGGTTAATAGACTCTTATGACAATAAAAATACCATAATATATATTTGAAAATATCGTAATCTCTCTTCTGTTCATTACAAAAAAAACTTCTACCAACTGAAATGTCTTTTCCAACGCCTACAGTAATATTTTTTATTCTCTTATAAGCTATTTCTTTAAATATTGTTACGTAATTCTATATTATTTTAGAAACTATATGAAAAATATACACGCCAAGCACTATATGCGCCATATATGTCCGTGAGAAATGCCATCTTTAATTAAGAAACTATTAATTAAAGAACTGATATTGTTACGACATAATGAGGTGTGCTGCGTATGCAGAAAAGAGTCCTCTGTAATCGTAACAATACCGTTTCCTTGAGAACCTATCAAAACATACATGAAAACGAAAAGAAAATAGGATTGTCTCGGTGAAATTTTTGACTTGTCTAATATGTTCGAAATATGAAAACATTATACAGGAGAAACATTTTTTATTATTATTAATTTCCTGTTTGATACATGGAGAGAAGAATGAATAGTATTTTGAGAGAATTTGAATTTATATTAATAAAAAAATATTAAATTAAAATGACAAGATAAGAAAGAATAGTTTAATAATTATAATAAGTGTCCAGTTGTTTCAACAAATAGCTCGAATTCGTCAACATGTTAATTTGTTTAAATTGGGCTTAGCTATTATAAAAAAATATATTAATTATTTTATAAAATAAACATTTTTTTCTCTTTGTAGTTAAAGATATAAAATATATCACGTTTTTAGAGATATACAGGGTGGCCCATCGAAAACGTTCCGCAAGGCGTAACGGCCAGGGTATTTTTTTTTCAAAAAATCCAAAAACACGTCAATAACGTGATATATTTTATATCTTTAACTACAAACAGAAAATATGTTTAATTTGTAAAATAATTAATATAAATTTTTTATAAAACTAAGTCCAATTTAAACAAATTAACATATATTTGGACCACTTTAAATCGCATTAAATCCACAACTCTTATAATTCGAGCTATTTGTTGAAACAAATGGACACTTATTATGATTATTAAACTATTCTTTCTGTGAATTATTGTACAGTAGCAAGTAAGCAAGATCTCCATTAAAGATAGAGCGTGAGAAATGGCCCAAGAACTATTAGGCAGTACCTGCTATTAAGCAGTTTCGAAATTATCGCTGTTTTTTAAATGAATTTGTTTAATTTGACTGAAGGTTATAGAAAAACGCGTGCACCAAAATGGATTCTCTTAATTGAATTGCGCCAATTGCGTAAAACCGAGATACTTCAAATAAAATCGTATATGTTTCCTATTATTTCATAGATAATTATTGAAGAATACCTGTGGTTATCGTACAGGATGGTGCCTCTCACTGTTGCACTTGGCTTTCACTTAAAATGCAAGCATCTCAAGATCTTTCAATTATATTTCTATAAATTCTTCCTGAAAGTTTAGTTTCTAGAAATTCTTTTTATTATTTATTTTTTGTACTTTAGATTTTTTTGAATCTAAAGTTATATACCGGGTGCGTCTCAAAAGTGGTTCATCCCCTATAACTTTTTTATTTTTTCAGATAAAAACACGAGATTTGGTATGCTAGTATATGACACAAATTAGGATTGATTGACGTATTCAGTTGTTTTTGGTCACTTCCTGTTTCACCGGAAATTACTATAACTATTGATTTTTAAATGGCGCCCTCGGTATTTTTTTACTTTATTCGATAGAAACTGACACTCTGAATAGAATAACATATCATATGTCAACTTTTGACATTTTCGCATGTCAACTTTTGACATTTGGTTTATTTGAAATTGTAACATGCGGTTCATAACGACAATTTGACTCGAAATACCAAGTATGTGGTACCAAATAATTCGTAAAAAAATGATTTTGCCAAATATGCTAATGAGCCACCCTTGTTCCATTTGAAAAAATTGAGATGTAATTAAAAATATGATTTGGGCATATTTTAACCGCAGCCAGGATAAGACACTAAAAGCATTAGACGATCAAATCTATTTTTCCAAAGCTCCTTTGTTTTAAGCAAAAACGTCAAAAGTTGACATATGATATGCCATTCTATTCAGAGAGTGTCATTTTCTATCGAATAATGAAAAAAATTGTGCCATTCAAAAATCAAAAGTTGTAGTCATTTCCGGTGAAACAGGAAATGACAAAAAAAATTTGATACGGTAAACCTTATTTTTTATTCTATAAGTCAACATACTCTTGAATATGGTAGAAAATATAAAACACCTTGTATAAATATAATCAAAATCAAATATTTAAATTAAAAATGCATCAACACATAAATCAAAATAAACCCAAATATTTTTTATAACCTACTTATATTTTTTTTGATTATACCCCACAACAATGCAGCAATTTTTTCGAGCAATAAAAAGGAAAAGTAAACAAGAAAAAAATCATAACAAAGAGCGTAAAAGCTCTGATACGCGTAGATCGACGGTAGTACCACAAGACGGTACTTTCCCCACTCGAGCGATCCCTGAAGAAGTACCCCAGGTTATATAGGGATCCCGCATGGTGCACGAGTTAGTTTGATAGACCGTTCTTCAGATGACATCGTGCTAAGATGCTTTACAAAAAGCAGGTGAGTGGTACCTTATCACTAAAAAATATATACACGCACATTTAGTTGACTTTGTAATTGATTTTTGACCTTTAAGACATCCTTATATACATAAATATTCTTCACCTGTGTTATTTCACGATCTAGTACTACCCAATCACGACCTCTTTAACACTAATTCATTTTCTTTCAGATTTTTCTTATTCTCTTCTTAATATCAGTGCTTCAAACATGTAGCAGTACTACCGAAAAAGAACTTAAAACTGAACCAACTTCAACAACCCCTAGGGAAGAAACAGAAGAACTAGTGCAATCAGAAACTAAAGATGGAACGTTAGAAATTGTGAAAAGGATCAAAAAAGTTAATCCTGATGGATCGTATACCATTGGATACGAAGCTGATGATGGTTCTTTTAAAATTGAAAGCAGAGATGTACTGGGGAATATTAAAGGTACTTATGGTTTCGTTGATGATGAAGGTAAAGTTAAAAGAGTTTCGTATAGTTCAAACAATGCCAGTGAAGTGTTTTCTAAACATCAACCTCTTTCGCAAGACAAAAACAAAGAGAATTATATTACATCATCTACCAGAAGGCCTACAGTGTCTACTTCTACAGACCAAACATCATCAACGACCACAGAAAGTGTCATTCAAAGCATAGCAAGGCGAAGAGCTAGCAGTACTACACGCAGACCAAATTACAACAATATCGAAGCACTTAAGACAACCTCTAAACCAAGCACAATAATATACTCATCAGCTTCACCTAGAGTTTTGCTCCAAAGACCTTCTACGTCACTAGCCTTAAAGAATTCTTTACTTAAATCATCAGAAGGTCAACTTATTCGACCTGAGGTCAGTTCAGAGAAGCCTACAGAACTTCCGGTGTTGAAAAGTTTGATTAACAAGAAGTTTGAGCTCGAGAAACCAGTAAATGAAGATGTTTCCGATGTTAGAAATAATATTCTGCGGAGACAGCTACCTCATGAACCCAGACAAACTGGTTTTAACCCAAACGAGCATATTTTTAACGTAAAACAATCTCTAGGAGATGGTGATATGGTTGATGTGTATAATAACGATGCCAGTGTTACTCCAAGACCTCTTTTTACTACCTCACGCTCAACTAGAGTGTTTCCAGTCATTTCCAGCACCACTTCAAGCCCTGTGGCAATTTCCAGACCCACTGTCAGCTACGTAGCTAACTACCAAAGAGAAAACCTACAACAAATCGAATCAAGAAGCACAGAATATGCTCCTTCTACTGAAGAAGCTTCCACGACTACTGGATCTCCCACAGTAACTCCTGTAGTGCAGATTCCTCCAAACGGAGGTGATTCTCCTGAACCTCTGGTAGCTGTACGTCATCCTTTCCAACGAGGGGCCATTTTGGTGCCTCTGAGTCAACTCCAAGGTCGTATAATACCTGTAGAGAACATGCAGGAGGTACAGGAAGCTAGGAGGCAGTACCATAGTTATCAGCAGCCTCAAAATGTTGTTGAAATTGAGAAACAGAATGTAAGGAGGGTTCAACCACCTCCTTTGAGGCCTTTGCCAGTTCAGGTGGATGAAAATGGGTATATTAGAGATATGCCAGCAAGTGTACCAACTCCATATCCTTTACCAGTGCCTGTTACTCCAGTTCCAGTACGACATATTCCAGTTTTACCTGTTAGATACGTCAATAACGATATTGATAACGATATTGATCGAATCCAACCTCCTGTGAGTACCAGGGACTTCCAGAAGTTGCTGAATCAGCTGATAGTAAGGCAGAAACAACTGGAACGGATCAGTGCGCTGACTCATGCGAGATTGCAGCCTCAAATAGTGCATCCTCAACCAACACCTCAAGCTTACTACGTTCAAAGAGTGGCATCTCCTAATCCTCAAGAGTCCATGGTGAGGTATGCTTATCAGAGAGTGCAAGATGGTAGGGACGGTGAGAATAATTTGCCTCACAGGCCGGCTGTGAGGTACGAGAGGCCGTATACTTTGACAAGGATTGGGAGAGCTCAGAGTCCTGTACATGCCCCTGTATACAAACAAGGTCAGTTCTAGATTATTTTTACTAGTTTTATTTTGTTCTAGATTCACTTAATATTAGAATTCATGTAAAATGTGTATAGTAAGAAATAATTCTTAAATTTCTAAAAGTTTTAGCAAAACACTTAAGATTTTTTTTATTAAATATTGTTTAAAATATATATTTAGTAGCTTTTTTTTAAATAAAGTTATTTCTGTAGTTTTTTAAGAAAATGCTACAAATGAATGTATTAACGATACTGTATGGTATACAGTATGTCCTCGGATTGTCTTTACAAAAAGAAAAAAACTTCTTTATTATTGACATTTTGAGAAAAATGTATTCTTCATAAAAAATATTGCTTGTTCTAAAATGGTTAATCTCGTTTATAATTTTCTAAATTTCCATACCGTTTTAGAGAAAATTAAAAAAAAATGAAAATGTAGTTGATTTTTTTTCTAGTCCTAAAAATCAAAACGCCTGAACTACCACAGAAGTGGTAGTTCACGTTTGTGTGTGTAGTATAATTTCGTGTGTGTAGTATATTTGTGTGTGTAGTTTTAATCTAGTTCAATGCTACGGAAAGGGTGATAATAGTTATCGAAAAATGTGACATTTTAACAACATCAAAAAATATGACATTATTCAAAATTAATTATAGCGATCTATCAAAGAATGAAATCGAAATTATATTAATTAAATTTTTAGGACTTGGAAGAAATCCAACTACATTTTCAATTTTTTTTTAATTTTCGCTAAAACTGTATGGATATTTAGAAAACTATAAACAGGGGGGGAGGGGAGGGTTAGACCAAGCAAAAGTTTTTATGAAGAATGCATTTTTTTCAAAATGTCGATAATAAAAAAAATCTTCTAGTAAAGACACTCCGGAGACATACTGTATATTTCTATATTCAGGGTGACACAGTATTCTAAAAAGGTTCATGATATCTTCAAAATATACAGGGAAAATAGAGAAATACATTTTTATTCGAAATTTGTATTATGTTGTACTTGGATGTTTAAGAAATGTACTAGTTTTTTTTTATATTAATTTTTTAAGATTTAAAGCTTTCGCAAAATAAAAAATATCATATCATGTTGAAAAAAAAACACTGTACAAGGTGTTCAATAAACATAAAATTGAATAAAAGCTGTGTTGATTTATGGTATAAATTATGGGTGTTCTATTTGGAATAAGGGAGAAATAATTATACGTAATTTTTAATCGCCCTGTATATACTTATTTTTCAGTGACAATACATTAAAATAAGCGATTTTAAGCTTTGGAGATAGTTTCTAATATACGGAATTTATTTAAATAATTGGAAGTTGTTTAAAAAATTATTTGTGTCGTTTGAAAAAAACAGCATGTTCTATTCGGACTAAAAATGACTTTTCTTGTGACAGTCTCGCCAGAGAAACCATCATTTTTACTTCTAATAAAACAATATAGTATTAGTTTAATACTATGATAATATTACATGCATTAACTTGTTCCTTTTTTGTTCCAGAACAATCACAAACAGAAGAATACCTGCCTGTAGAAGTCAGGGAAATGCTTCTTTTGAGGATGCTACAGTTAGCCATGAATCCAGCCCTCCCTATTGAGGAAGACAGCGATTCACAGCCTCTAGCAACAGCCACGACACCTCAATACAGGAAATCGCCTGTCAGAAATGTAGAGATCCTTGGAGAAGACGACGGAGAAGAAGAAAATAGCTCTAAAAGAAGATATGGAGCCCGGACGAAGAGATTCAAAGAGGAAGAAATGGAATACATGGAGTAAATAGTTAATTTTTTCTATTGAACTGATTGTAAATAGCTCTTGTTTATGTTTTTTAACAGTCTCTAGATTTAATGCAAAAGTTTTCCAGATTTTTTCATTATTTTATTATGTATTAAATTATACCGGGTCCGGTAAAACTATCGGGCATCTGTAGCTTCTATAATAAAAAAGTTAGAAATTTTGTTTAAGTGCATACCTCAAGTAGGTACTAGAATGTATCACAGGAAAATATTTTATCTTCTACAGGGTGGCTCAAAAAAGTGTGAGTGGATCGGGATGATTTTTCTTAAATGGAACACCCTGCATTTTATTGCATTTTTGGCTTCCTTTTTGATCATTTTGCATAATCCTAAGATCTGATTAAATATATTTTAATAGTTTCAGAGTTATAGATAAATAATTAAAAAACATATATACAGTGTTGTTCACCACATACGACACGGAGTATTGTAGCTAAACGATGAGATTTTTACAAATTGTAAGTTTTGGGTTCGATGAAGGACTATTAGAGGTACAATTTAAAAATAATTTTACAAGATACAGAGTGTCCCAAATAAGTAAAAAATATCAAAGTTGTATTTTTTTAAATGGAACACCCTGTATATTATTACATTTTTAGTTTCTACGATTAAAATAAAGGTAAATTTGATTAAGGTTTATTATACTTAAACCTTACCGTTTTTGAAATATTTTCAATTTTGTGAAATTGCAGTAAAAATTTTAAGGCTTCATTTCTCCAAGGGTATCAAAGTTTTTAATACTAAATATTTACTGGTTTATTTACTGATCAGTTATTGTGTTGCAATAATAAAAATAATACTACCTTATACAGAGTGTCTAAAAATTTATTTTAAATAATTATTAGCTTCAAACGGTAATAACTTGTTTAATTTAAATAGACTGTATATTTTACGAGAATCAGATGCACAATTTAATTGTCTATCAAATTATATTATACCATTTTTTACCTATCTGTTTAAGTTTCCGTAGAAAATGCATTTTCTTGTAATTTAGAACTTATTTATCAATATACCCATGGACTATTGACATTTTAGATTATTTTTAAAGATGTACCAAATTTTTAAAGAGTACAGATAGTAATATTGTCGATATAATTCGTTTATTTCATTGAAAAATAAAAAAAAAGTGTTTAAATATTTGTTAAAGAGGATCAATTAATATGATTCCAGTATTCAAACTACATTAACTGACTGTTTGCGTTGATTAATAATAATTGCTCCAAATACTAAAAAACTGAATTTTGTATGGGCATTAGACAGTGTGATAAAAAGTAACACCTTAAAAATGATATTTCATATTTTAATAAATGCTTATTTATAACAACAGAGACTTAATTTGATAACTTATTATTATATTGATTTCTGACTCAAATCCATATTTATTTATAATAATTTATTAACGAACACAATTAAGTATGTAATTAATTAGTATATGGGCGGAAATAATGGTGTTATATTTAATTAATGGTATACTCTTTTATAAAGATTTAAATAGTTTTCTTTTTGCATACAAATGGTTTAGTAATATTATCGTTTTGCTAAAAACGATAATATTACTAGTCTGTACATTTTGTACATTTGTTGCTTTAAAAACAATCTAAAATGTCAATATTCCATGGATATATTGATAAATAAGGTCTAAAGTAAAAGAAAATGCATTTTCTACGAAAACTTGAAGGGATAGGTAAAAAATGGTATAATACAATTTGATAGACAATTTAATTGTGCATCTGATTCTCCTAAAATATACAGGGCATTCCATTTAAATTAAAGAAGTTATTGCCGTTTGACGCTAATAATTATTTAAAATAAATTTTTAGACACTCTGTATAAGGTAGTATTATTTTTATTATTGCAACACAATAACTGATCAATAAATAAACTTCATTAAATATTTAGTATTAAAAACATTGATACCCTTGGAGAAATGAAGCTTTAAAATTTTTACTGCAATTTCACATAATTGAAAATATTTCAAAAACGGTAAGGTTTAAGTATAATAAACCTTAATCAAATTTACCTTTATTTTAATCGTAGAAACTAAAAATGTAATAATATACAGGGTGTTCCATTTAAAAAAATACAACTTTGATATTTTTTTTTTATTTGGGACACTCTGTATCTTGTAAAAATATTTTTAGATTGTAGCTCTAATAGTCCTTCAACGAACCCCAAACTTACAATTTGTAAAGATATAATCGTTTAGCTACAATACTCCGTGTCGTATGTGGTGAACAACCCTGTATATATATATTTCAGCCTTTCTTAAAAACAGTATTAAAAATACAAGAAATGTCCTGAAATCAAAACGGTATTACGTATTTACTGGTAGGATGGTCTGTACTTACTTTGCTATAAATATCCTAATCTTCAATCATACAGGATGTTCAAAATTCTACGCCAAACTTTCTAAAATATAAAATAAATTTTCTTTGATTTTTTTAAAAGAAACATCCTGCATATTATTTTTTTAATAAATGGAAAATTAAAAAACGAACATTCTTTGTGTTTAGAGTATTTCAAAATTTTTAACGGTTTTGCAGCTATTCGCGGTTTTATAATAATATGGCATTTTCCACAGTAAATTTTTATCAAAGCCACCCAATGCCATATGGCCATATGAAATAATACTGCGTGTATCAGCGAAACTGTTAAAAATTTTGAAATACTTTAAATAAAAAAATGTCCCTTTTTTAACTCTCTAAAACTATCTATTAAAAAAATAATATACAAGGTGTTCCATTTAAAAAAAAAACGAATAAAAATTATTTTATATTTTAGAAAGTTTGCCGTAGAATTTTAAACACCCTGTATGATTTAAGAGTACGATATTTATAGAAAATTAAGTACCGACCATCTAAAGTAAATACCTAATATAGTTTTGATTTCAGGAACTCTTTTAATAATTTTTTTAAAAAAGGCCGAAAAAAATATTTTTTTTATTTAATTATTAATATACTCGAAACTATCAAAACATATTTAAAAATATCTTAGGATTATGTAAAGTGATCAAAAAGGAAGCACAAAATGCAATATTATACAGGGTACTCTATTTAAAAAAAAACATCCTAAACATCATAGAGGTTAAATTATTTTCCTGAAATACATCCTAATACATACATTAGATTTTGCACAAATTCCTAAGCTTTTTTGGTTTTACGGTTATATTTCAAAAACATTTTAAAAATTCACTCTGTATACTATTTCTTTTCTTCTTTTATTGGCAATAGATATCTAGATATCTAGAGACTGGCTGTACACAGATTTAAACTTATTATTCTTTATATACCTTATTTATTTTTGTATTTATTTTTTTATATTTTACAATACATATTTTTTAATCGTACTGCACTGAACACCGTATAACAATTAAAAAATATTTTTTTTATGATTAATGCAAAACATGGCATTCATTGTATGCCATACGGAGCATTGCGCAAAAGTTACCAAAGAGATGTGAACAAAAAGTTGTGTGAGAAAATCTCCAACCCTTGGCGTTGGTGAGCTAACAATAAAACAATGAAAAATTTGCATTGGACATTTTTATTTGTATTCTAGAATAGCCAGAGAGTTAGTTTTTCCCTCAAGAACAATTAGACTGGTTGCTGAAATTAGCAAACGAAATGATAAATAATAACAATATGCCGACGGCCTTAGACGTGTGTTTACTTTCGGTTTCACTGGGCGGCATTGTTTGATAAAAAAATGTCTTTTTCTCACAGTTAATAAAAAAACAAGTGGGCGTTGTATACAAAGGATATGAAAAACAAAAGTCGTTTTTGACATTATACAGAAATAATTGTCATAGTACTCTATACGATCGAGAAAAAAAAAACGGCGTCAAAGGCGGGGAGATTTTGGAGAGGTCAAGCCATAGACTAGTATTTATTTTTCAGTTGGCTTTAAGATGGTTGTGATTTATTTTTATATTGAGTAAACAGAAAAATTACGTTTAGAGGTTGACCTAGGCAAGATTATCATCGATTGTCATTGCTCAGTCATCTTTGACGCAGTTTTTTTTTTCGATCATATGACAGTATTACAGTATAAAGTATTAAACATATACAGGATGGTCCAAACAGATAAAAATATGTAAAAAATTTGTATAAATGTATGTCCTAAAATTCGGAGATACAGGGTATAGAAATATCATTTTTATTTTGTTTTTCCCAAATAATTTCTGAAGTAACGTCAATATTTGGATGAAAATTAGTGTCTGGGAGTTTTTTGACTTAAGAAATTTGATTTTGATGTCAATATGACTCCTTTTCGTAGAGAGTGCCACCTACATGTGTTTTAACTGTTTTGAAGAGTAATAACTTTTCGCCTGTACCTGTATAAAACTACTGAGTGAAAAAATATACATTTTCGTGACTTTTTACGTAAAAAAGGTCTCTTGGTAAAAATCGCTACGAGTAACCGTTCTCAGGATATTGAGAATGGAAATAGTCAATACATGTCATTATTGACAAAGAATAAAAACGTTGAGTAGATAGTTATTTGACTGAAATAATAAATTTGGGAAATTTTTATTTTTTTAAATTATTCATAAAATACGGAAATACGGAATACAGTTCGGACGACCCTGTACATTATTCTTTAATTACATTTAAGCAACATAATTATTGTGCTTTAATTTTTTTACATTTATAATTTAATAATGTTACAGTAAATCCACAGGATGTGTTGGGTAATTATGTCAAACATTGTGGCATAAACGCAACAATTACCATGCTTAAATATTGGTACACTTTTGTTTTATTTGGTCTAGATACAAAACTAAATAAAAAGAGAACTTGGTGTCATCAAAGGAAGTAAATAAGTACGTAAAAGAATGGAGAAACTAAATTATATCAAAAACGTTTATTTCTGTTAGATGCCCGTGAAAAAAAAATCGAGAATATTTCGAGATGTATGAAAGAAAAAGCTTTTGTAATGGCTTGAAAAGAGTAAAAGTAAAACAGTTTTAATGCATTTCTGAGTTTTAAATAATGATGATTCTTACAGCGACGGCTGGTGGATTTTCAATGCAT